CTTTCTTCTTCTCTTTCTTTCCTCTCTTTCTCTCTTTCCTTCTTTCTTTCTCAAAGTATAGTTTATTTACAATATTGTGTTAGTTTCTGGAGACAGCACAGTGATTCAGTTATACATTATATGTGTATGTGTTATATATATATACACATACACATACAATGGATAAAGGATACATATATCTTTTTTTCATATCCATCTTTCTGTCCTTACTTCCCTACAATTTATTCTCCATACAGAAGCCAGATTGAGCCTTTAAAATGCTGTGCCTGTTCAAGTCACTTAGTGACCTTGAATAGGTTAAAAATAAAATTCACAGTCCAAAAAGTCCTTATTTTGACCTTCTGCGCCATAGGTGACCTGGTCTCCTGCTGCCCTCTGAACTTCTGCTTCCTTCAGTCCTGCATTACAGCTCCAATGGCCTCTTTGCTGCTCCTCAAACATGCCAAGGGGTTTTCTACTTCAGGGTATTTGCACCTGCCATTCCCTCTGTGTGGAAAACGTTTGCCCCAGGAAGTTGTGTCGTTCGCTCTCTGCTGAAATGTCACAGATGCTCTTGGTGCTGAGGAACCCTAAGAGAGGAGATGCAGGGATGTCTGAGAAAAGCCACTGGTTTTATTGAACCACTACTGTGAGTGCTACATGCCACTTTTCCAAGCACACGTCATGCCCTCCACACCTCAGGGAGCAGGCAGTCACAGCTAACATTTACTGAGTGCTTTCCACATGCCAGGCATTCTGCTAAACGCTTCATATGTATAAACTCAACTAATTCTCATAACAACCCCATGAAGTGAGTCCTGCTATTGTCCCCACTTTCTGTCTGAAGCACAGAGAGTTCAAGCGACTTACCCAGCCAATGGGCAGCAGAGCTCAGTTTGGACCCAGAGCTTACGCTGATGCCATGGGAGAGAAGAGGCAAGGCTTAAGTGGAGCCTTTAAAGTTAATACAACAACGGTTTAAGTAGAGGTAGAACATTCTTTTGCGGGCAGGAAGTGTTGCTTGTACATAGGTACAGAGGCAGACAGCTGGCTTCACACTTTCCAGGAAGCAGGTGTGTGTGATAGCTGCTTATAAGCGCAGCTTGATAAAGTGAGCCTGCCGGTGAGTATAAGGCTATGCTGTCTGTTACTCGAGTGTCTGCCAAGTAAGGTCAAGGTAGCGGTTTCTCCCTGAAGATGAAGGGTCTGGGTCACTCTGCTCAGGAGTCTAGGCTGTAGTAGTTGCTGAAGGCTTTTAAGACCTTTAAATCCTTATTGGTCCAGCGGCCACGAACTTTGAAGGGGGTGGGGTTGGGGTGGGAAAGGAAACGGAGAAAAGGCAAATGACAGATAAAGGGGAAGTGCAGTTTCAGAACCCAACTAACTCTCTCCTGCCTGCCTCCCCAGGCTCCACCAACCTCTTCTCCAGCTTCGTCCGGGGGACCCGCCTTGGACCCCATGGCCAACCACAGATTCAGCCCGGTGTCCGAAGGGAAGTCCTGCTGCGGAATCTCCAGGAGAGCCCAGATCTGTCTCTGCGTCTTTCTCTGTCTCCTGGTGGGGGTGATCATTGCGGTGGTGGCGGGAGTTCGGCTGTGGCACCAGCCGCTCAAGCACAGGGAGTGGAACGGAACCGGCAGCACTGCTCATTTTCAGGATATCTTCCTGGGGCGATGCTACATCTACACTCAATTGGTGCAGCCGGAGTTCAGGTGAGTTGGCGTCTGTGGCGCTCCGCTGGGCACCGCGCACGGTGGTTACTGCGCACGGCTGGGCAGGGCTGGGCACAGCTGGACACCGCGCGCCCAGCAGCCGTCGGGATGGCAGAAATAAAGCATCTACTGTTCCGAGTCAGCTGAGAGCCCGCGGGGCAGTGCTGAGTAAGGAGTCGGGGCTCGCGATTCCGCGCGCCCCTCGCTAGAGCTGCGGGCGGTGGCACCCTGCGTGCCCGCCGGGAGCGCGCTGCTCCTTGGCAGCGTCGGCTCAGTTGGTGGACACTTGGCAGAGAGGTCCCGAGCCCGGCCCACTCGGGGCCGCAGTTCACCTCTGCGCCCACAGCCCCGCCGCAAGGACGAAAAATACCCGGGAGCCCGGGCTGTTGCTGGCGTTTCCCACTTTGCATGGGGTTTCTGTTCGCCGTCTCTGACCCAGAAGTGCGGAAGTGCCCAGATGACACCTGGTTAAGTGGCTTGCGGAGCCAGAGCGGAGTCTCACGGGCCAGATCACTGAAAATAGTTTCACATTAAGATAGAACACACAGTAAAGTGAATTCGCGGGATGAATCTGTACAGACCCTGGAAACGCCATCCATATCGGTGCCTGGAATCTTGCCCGACCAGCTACTAACCTCTCCCCAAAGTGAACTGCTTCCTTGATTTCCATTCCCGGGGCTTGGTTTCACTCGAAGAACTCTTTTTTTTTTTTTTGAAACTTCACATGAAATAGAGTAAGCTGGGAAGTAAAAAGTTGTTTCTCGGGCGGCCAAGGTGAGCAGGGCAGCCGCGATTTTAAGCTGAGTGCTCGAGATCTCAAAATTCTGCCTCCGAACGCCCGCACTTCCCGGGGAATGAGCCGAGAGACGCCCTCCGCTGCCCTCTTCCCCAGCCCCGCCTCCTGCGTGCGCTCAGAGGGTGGTTCTAACGCAGATACTGGACGTCTTACAAATCGCTCAAGTCCAAAGATTGCCGTGGTCTCTTAAGTGTCTTGCTTACAAATACTTAGTTAATTGAGAGAGAAAGTGGGCGTTCCTACAGATTACATTTAAAGTATCGGTTAAATCAAGTGATGTCCAATCTGAAATGGTAATAAAAGAGATCTTTTAATTTTCGCTTTATTTAACAGTCTTTAAATCGCTGTTGTGGTTCAGTCCTCTTCGGGAAGTTCACATCCACGTAGCAAGCAGGATGCGCCCTAGAAACCACGTGGCGTTTTAATGTTTGTCGGGATGGCTGCTTGGTGTTCAGCACACAGTATGGAAAACACACAGTATTAAAAACATGTGTGCGTATATGTATTCAAAATATGTGTATGCACATATATTCAAAAGTATTAATGGGGATACTGTCTATTACTATTTTTAACATTTTTTCAGATATCTCACAATACATGTACACATACACTTTATTTAAGCAGGTTAATAATTAATATGGTACTTACTGTGTCCCAGGCACCTTAGAAACATCAAATCTTTTAGTCCTTTAACAACTATCCGAGGCAGTTACTATTTCTGTCTCCATGTTACATATGAGCAAACTGAAGATGAGAGTTTGAATAAATTGTCCAAAATTTTGCTCCAGAGGCTGAAATCTATGCTACACTCTGCTTCCTGTAGGTAGAGGAACCATAATTTATTGACCATGTCTGGAATTTTTGAAACGAAAGGGAATGCTATTCATAATTATGCTGGGCTTAATCAGAATGCACGGTCACTTTATCCTAACCGAGTGGTTTAAGAGCGCAACCTCTGGAGTCACATGACTGGGGTTTAGACCTTGGCTCTGTCGCAGTGTAACTTTGAGCAGATTGCTTACTTTCTTTGTGCTGCAGTGTTCTCAGCTCTGAAGTGGGTGGTAGTACCTACCACATGGGGAAATGGTGAGGTTTAAGAGGAATCTATACTGATATACCGTAAATGCTCGAAATGCTATTTTTGGGGGAAGTGCAATACCACAGACATCTTTCAACAATAATAAACAGAGACTAAAGTCAACATCAAAATTGATGCTCAATGTTAGATTTATTTAAATCCCAATCCAGTAAATCAATTCCCCAATGAAATATATGTTTTTTTTAACTGTAATTCTTTATTTTTTTTTAACTAAACACTTGGTCTTGGAGATCTTTTGATGTCAGTACATAGTATTCCACAGGGTGGATATAATCGTTTCCTACTGACAGAAAATTAGTTTTCAATTTTCAGTTATCATTCATTTGTTCAATAAGTATTTGCTGAGCATCTTCTAGGTTCCAGCCATGACATAGCTCTGACAATCCAGGAGTAAATGACAAAGTTCCCATCCTCTTGAAGCTTCCATGCTGGTTGAGAGAAACATTCTGCAATAACCATCTTTGTATATATCTTTTCATGTACATATGGGAGTGTTTCCGTAGGACAGATTTCCAGGGGTGGAATTATTAGGTCAAAGGGAGTATTAGGCATATTTTAGATTTTGGTAAGTATTTCTAAGTGCCCTCCAAAATAACTACCATTTTAGATTCCCATCACCGTCTCCCCGAGGATATGCTTCCTCACAATCTCTTTGTTGCTGAATAGTATGAACTCGTCTTAGGTATGAGAAAAATGACAGCTAACTGTTCCCTGATTAGCAGTGATTCTTAACATATTGTCTATGTTTATTGGTCATTTGTATTTTTTCCTGTGAATTTCCAGTTTCAAATCCTTGCTAATTTCTGCTGAGTTGCTTATTTATTTCTTTTCGTGGGAATTTTTTATATATTGTAGACTACATATATATATATATATATAGTGTTTTCTTTCTCTCTGTCTGTTATTCTTGTAGCCCTTCTAATTTCTGTTGTCCCCCAAGAGACTTTAACTTCAAGGTCTTGACTCTTTGATTAATAAATTCCTCCTTCTACGTTGTTGGAAGCCTGGCATGTTGACTATTTCCCTTGTAATCATACCCTCTTGACATCAGCCCTCTTTTCCCTGATGAATTCTGACTGAAGTCATTTCTTGTGACCTTCCTTTCACATCCATCCCTTGCTAGACTGTTCTCTCCTGTCTTGGTCATTTACATTGGGTCACAGTGGTCATTTATGCCAACTATTCAACCTGGTATTTCTACTTTGATCCAGTTCTTCTTACCTTTGCATGACTTTATTAAAACTATGTATTAGTGTATAAAAATGTGACATATAATACCAAGCAAAACCAGCATAAAAATTACACATGTAACAATTGTATCTACGTAAGATTTAATATAAAGGAAAAAAGTAGAATACGGCCCTGTTGGGTTAATGGGATTATTAACCACTGATTATTATTATTCCACTTGCCTCAGTAAGTTTATTATAGGTTTCCTTCCTTATTATTCTTCAGTTTCAAATTATCTATAATTGGTATTTTGTTTACCTATCACTATATAATAAACCACGCCAAAACTTAGTGGCTTGAAACACAAGCCATTTTATTGTTTTCCATAACTGTGGATTGACTGAGCTTGGTGGGTGGTCCTTCTGTTCCTTGTGTTGTTGGCTAGGGCTGCGGTCATTTGGGGTCTCCCCTAGGCTGGAATACCCAAAATAGATCAGACATCACATGAAAGGCACCGTGGAGGGGTCAGCTGAAAGGCTGGACCCCTCAGGTCACTGGAAGTGTTGAGTTTCTCCTTCGTGATGTCTCCACGCCTTGCAGTCACACCTCTGAAGCTCTGACCCTGTGAACGTGCTTTGCTGGCAGCACCTGGGATGTGATCATTGCCTTGAGGCCACTTCTTACTTTGATATTCTTTTACTAAGAAAGACTGGAAATGAAAAGCAGTTTTATTTTCAGACCTCGCAAATCTTGACTTGGAAAGGTTTGCTCTTGATTCCGCTTAGAAGTGAACAGTTCTTTTTTGGTTCATTTCTCTCTTTCTCTGCAGACCTTATCATATGCAGGTAAAAGAAATGAATTGGCACTTCCAACATTCTATGTGGAAATCCCCTTGGCCGCAATCTTAAGTCCACCAGGTCTGTTTCTATCGGTTCCATGATGACAGGTGGCAGTGTTACCCAGCTTTCCATCACTATATAACATGGGTCTCCTTTCCCTAACCTCCAGTAACAATTCCCTCCACGTCCATCCAGCCTCTGCAGTCTCATTAAGACCTTTCTAATTTTAGCTGCCACCCAGTCCCCAATGTCAAGGCCACATTGTAATGGTCAGGGTGAGAGAGGGGAGTAGGGGAAAGATACGTGTTTAAGGAATTGGCTCACATGATTGTTGAGGCTGACATGGCAAAATCTGCAAAGTAGGCAGGCAGGCTAGAGGCCCAGGGAAGAGGTGGTGCTGCGGCCCCAGTCTGAAGGCCATCTGCTGGCAGAATTCCCTTTTCCTTGGGGGAGGTCAGGCTTTTTCTTAAGGCCTTCAGCTGACTGAATGAGGCCCACTACATTGTGGAGGGTCATCTGCTTTACTCAGAGTCCATCCATTTAAAGGCAACATCCAGCTGCATTTGACTTAATATCTGGGTACCCTGGCCTAGCCAAGTTGACATAGAAAATGAACCACTGTACATTCATTTTAGGTTTTTGTTACGCAGCACCTCGCTTCCAGGTACCACTTGCTGTTTTGGTTATCTATTGCTGCAAAATAAAATACCCTAAAATGCAGTGATCTAAAACAACAATCATTTATTATCTTTCATGATTCTGTGGGTTGTCTGGGATCTAGGTGGTCTGCTTCATGGGATGTCAGCTGGGGCTGTAGTCACCTGGGGGACCGACTTGACTGGAGCATCCAAAATGTCACATTCACCTGATGGCGCCATGGCACCTGAGTTCCAGTGGGGTGGAAGCCTCTTTCTCTCTAAATCATCTCAGGGCCTCTCTTCTCCTTGGGGCTCCTCCATATGACCTCTCTGTGGTGCAGCTGGATTTTATTTAGCATTCCTCAAGTCTTCAAAGTGGAGCCTGGAAGTCCTCCTTAAAGCTTTAGACCCATAGCTGGCATAGCATCACTTCCACATTGGTTAAAACAGTCACCAAT